AAATTCCATTGGTCATTAAAACACCTATCTGGATTTTAAGCTAATAACTAAACATTATAGAAAAAAAATTACATTGCTGCTAAAACTTTTCACCACATTGAATATGTGCAGGACCACAAACAAAGATAGTTGTTCCAAGCAGAATTAAAGATAATAGTTAAATATTCGATGATTCTAAGCGAATTTTCTTATAAATTATATCAATTAAGAGAGATCATCCAAAAAAAGTGCTAGCTGTCAAGTAAATAAATCAAAATAACGAGTATTAAAGAATTCTGTTTGATGTGATACAAATAAATTTTAAAATAGTGTTTACTGCATACATTCCGAAAAGTGTAAACTTATCTTTGTTTGAAATTTTCTCAAATAAGAATCAAAGGAAAAAAATAAAAATAAAAACCAAATTTTTTCAGGTCGAGTAACTAGTTCAACTGGTTCAACAGCTGATGTACAAAAAGAATTAAGTCAACAAATGGAACAAATAAGTGAACAACATCAAAAACAATTAACAAATTTACGTGATGAAATTCGTGCAAGAGAAACTCAAATGGAAATTTTAAAAGAGTATATTTTTCTAAAAAAAAAAAAAAAAACTAAAAAAATAATTGATTTTATTTGTCTCATTTAGTTCTTTACAAAAATTACAATTATCTTATGAAAAATTATCTGGTGATTATGACAAATTGAAAAAAGAAGAAACTGATAAATCAGGTCGATTACAAGAAATGACGTACGTACCAACAAAATCTTACAAATTCAAAAAATATAATCTTGTAATTTTTCTGTTTTTTTTTTTGTAGTTTACAACAAGAACGTCGTGAACAAGCTAAACAAGATTTGAAAGGTCTTGAAGAAACTGTTGCTAAAGAATTACAAACATTACATAATTTACGAAAATTATTCGTTCAAGATTTACAAACACGACTTAAAAAAGTTTGTTGTTTTTTTCTTTTTATGTTACATACAAACTCAGGATTCATTTTATTTTATTTTTTTTGTTTAAATTAGTCACAAAAACAACCTGAAGCAGAAGAAGATGATGTAGGTGGTAATGTAGCACAAAAACAAAAAATCTCATTTTTAGAAAATAATCTTGATCAATTAACAAAAGTTCATAAACAAGTAAAATTTTTTTTGTTCTTTCTTTTGCAAAATTTCTTTTTATTCTTATTTAGCTTGTACGTGAAAATGCTGATCTTCGATGTGAATTACCTAAATTAGAAAAACGTCTTAAAGCAACAATGGATCGTGTTAAATCTCTTGAACAAGCATTAAAAGATGCTAAAGAAAGTGCTATGAAAGATCGAAAACGATATCAATGTGAAGTTGATCGAATAAAAGAAGCTGTAAGACAACGTAATCTTGCTCGTCGAACAAATGCAGCACAAATCGGTAGAAAATTCATTTTGTTTTTTTTATCTATTTAAAAAAAAAGAACGTCGTCGAATTCGGTGACCTATTTTAAACTAGAATATCATATATATATATAGTGTTGTAGAACAGTTTGTGATGCATTGAATCGTATATAAGAAATCAAATTTTATGAAAATGTTTAGGTATTAAGGGTCGATGAGATAAACTTATGCAACTTTTGTTTTGAAAATTCAATTCGATATAGTTAAAGATACTTCCTTTTTTTTAAGTCTGTGTCATTTCTTGACAATATGATATTTCAGTACGTTCAACTCGATAACACAGAACAAGTGATTACAAACGTGAAGCTTTCTCAGAAATTGCATACTATCAATCTCTATATGTTTCATGAAAAACATATGTCGGAACAGCAGACATTCATTGTTAATTTACAACATTGTCGTCTGTAAAAGCCTATTATCACATAAGACGCAAGCTGGTATATTGAGGACATTTTAAAAATACTCAATGGTTCTCTTGCATTTTTTTTATGTATTAGTAATCAACACAGCATCCCTGATGGATTGATATAAATAACTTTTTTGTAAATGAAAAGAATTTTTTTTAGCCTTCGAACCCTTGGAGAAGGATACGGAAATATATTTACAGACAGGAAATCTGTTATGGTTATTATTTATTTTTAGAATTTTTATTTCGAGTATCCATGTTTCATTTATAGATGAAACTCTAGAAGAATCTATAAATATATTATTCTCATTGCAGAAATGAATTTTTTCATATTCTCGTACTTCTCTTTAGGGATTCAGAGGTCAAAAATTTTTTTCCATTTTCAATAAATTATTTATATCAGTTCATCACGGATGCTGTGTTGATTATTAGAACATGAGCATTTTTATTAGGACTATTGAGCATTGTTAAAAATATTCTCAATATACCAGCCTACGTCTTATATTATAGTAGGCTTTTGCAGACGACAATTTTGTAAATTAACAATGAATTCCTACTGTTCCGACAGATGTTTTCTATGAAACATATAGAGCTCAATAGTATGCAATTTTTGATAGTTTCACATTAGTACTCATTTGCACTGTGTGATCAAGTTGAACGCACTGAAATATCATAGTGTCAAGAAATGACCTAGACCTAAGAAAAGGAATTATGTTTAAATGTACCGAATTGAGTTTAAAAAACAAAATTTGCATAAGTTTATCTTACGAATCATGAAGTCTATTGATATCATATGTCTCCATTAAGGATTAATAAATCTTGATTTCTATATTTCATTCGATGCAATACAAACAACTCTACGAAATCATCTCTATGATATTCTGTTTCAAGATTGGTCATCAAATTCAATAGAATCTTTTATCGAATATGTTCTTTTATTGTTTCTAGTAAAACCTATTCGAGCTGGAGTTAATCCATCAACAAATACTTCAACACCAATTCCAACAATACGCGGTGGTGATGGTGGTGATGATGATCAAACAATGGATGAATAAAATGAATTTTCAAGATAATAACAAACAATGATGAACAATATTAATTGAATTTTCTTTCTTTTTCTTTTGCATATAGATATTGCGTCATTTGTTTTTTTCTTTTTATCATTTCTTTATGCATTTTTTTTTCTTGTCTTTAGAGAAAATTTATTCTTTTCTTTATATTATCGTTCAGACAAGTTCTATTATTCGTATTTGTATGTCTTTTTTTTTCTGACAAAATTTTCAGAAAAGATCTTTATCATTTGTATTCATATATATTATTTCATTGTAATAACGACAAATAAAGAAAGTATTTCATTTTTTTCTTTTCTATCTCATGAGAATAATATTAAAAAAAAAAAAAGATTACTTATCTTTTTCTTTCATCAATCGCCTAGCGAATATGAATTATTTCTGTATTTATAGGTGTTTGAACAGTCCCTTTATTATGTATTTATGTTTAATCTCTGTCCAGCTGAATAAGTCTAAAAACGATCTGAAGATATAACTTTTTACTTTGTGTTCTTTTTTTGTTCAAATTTCTGTATGTGTGTGTGTGCATATTCCTCTATCTCGATATATATTGGTTGTTGTTTTGAATGTTTTCAGTTGGTGTTCACGTTTGTTTTTCTTTTTTCTTGATTTCTTATCATTCACTTAACTATCTTCTTCTTCTTTTGCTTTTCATTTCTCATGATCATTTTTATTCGATTTGGCATTCTCTGCAATGACGACTTTGAACATATATCATTCATTGAAAATATGTAATGAAAAACAAATAACTTTTATGCTGAGTGCTTATTTAGGAATTTGAAAAATTTTTTGATGATAAAAAAACAGACATGTTTTTTCTTTCTTCTAAAAATTTATTGAATTAGATTTTCTTTGTGTTAGAAAACTAATTGATTGAAAAACAAAAGAAGAAAATATGACAAAAATCTTCAAATAATCGATTGATTAATGAAATTTTGATGTACTTATAACAGAGCTTGAATTGATTGACAAAAATCTTGATTATCTAGTGAATTATCATCTTTGAAGTCAAAAAGTAATTGATGTAAATCAACAAAAGAATCAAATCCATACGATAATGAGAACAATTTGATATTTCTTTTTTGTCTGTAAAAAAAAAAAAAAAGATATAGCTGATGATGATGTTTGCAAAAAAAATATATTATATTGCTACTTCCAGATGGAAACACTTCGAATATTTTGTTAAATTTGGACTTGTCTTTTATGCAGCTAATACAATTTACGAAAATAGATATTTATTCGAAATAACAAACATGAATGTATGTCATTTCTGAAAAGATCTAAACAATATATTCGCTCGAAAGATTTGCTCACTCTATTAATCATCTGAATAGTGATTGACATGTTTGTTAATATGCATGTTGTGTTTTAGTTATTATATTTCTTTTTTGATTTCGACATTCAATACTGAATATGATCTATGTAATAGTAAATCTTACTAATTTGAAATTTCCATATGTTATATCATCTAGATTTACATATAATTGTTTAAAATAATTTTATATTGATATTTATTTCAGTCAATATCGAAATATTCGAGTAGAACAATTTGATAAATTTATCTCAGAAAGTAAAAAAATTGATCTATGATATTCTCATAATGCTAATTCATTATTGGTATAATTGACCAGTAAAGAAAATCTATAAAATTACACAATGAATTAATTTATTTCTATATTAAAATTTATCAGAAGAAATATTTAGAAAGATTTCATATTTCGTGACAAAAAAATCTTAAAATGACGTAGTAAAAATTCTTATTTCTTTCATGTTCTATCAAGTAATCATAATATAATCTTATGCTTTGCAATAGCTTGAAGCTAAAAATGACATACATGATGGCGTTCAAAATAACATACTCATCTCTAGATAGGCAGGTATTTTTGGTAAAATAATACCCACAGCAAGGACTAATAACATCCTTGTTTTTATCCAATCCAGCATAAATAGAAGAAAATATGGAAGATTAAAGAGAGAATGACAAAAATTATTGTATATGATAATGATAAACACAAATTGAATACCGTCATATTTTCACTTGCCAATTCCACAACTATAAGTTATACATATAATTTACTATACTTTTTTTCTCGTTAAATTTAAATTTTAATGAACAATTTTACTAAATATCAAGATGAACATGATGAATTTCTTCATCCATTATGGTTGGGTATATTACTATTATTTTTTGTAATAATTATTATTGGTTTATCATGTTGTGTACGAAAAAAATTTGGTTCATCAATACATCATTTATTCAATCGATTATGTTGTAAAGATGAATTAAATAATGGTAAAAATAAAATAAAAATTTGCAAATTAAAAAATTTTTCTATTCATTTTATAGAAGATAATTTCAAAAAAAGGATGAATTTACAAATAGCAAATGCATATAATTGGGCACCTATTTTTGCTCCGTCAACAAGTGTATCACCTAAATTACATACATTAGTTCGAAGTCTTCAAATGACTAGTCTTGAAAAACAATTATCTATTCAAACTATAAATAATAATGAACATAATAGTTCTGAAAATGATGTATCGTCAACAGGTGACGAATTCGATCATGCTCAAGTAAAAACATAAAAAAAAAAACTATTTCTTTTTCTTTATTGTTATTTAAAATAAAAATTAATTTATGTCTATCTTTAGACATCTTCATGTCAAAATTCCTCTCAATCAACTAAAGAATTAAGTCATAATCGAAATTGTGAAACAGCTCGAAAATTTTATGCAAGTATGCGTCAAACAAGTGTATGTAAAAATTCTATGTCAGTCGATAGTTGTGATTCTCAACCATCGTTATTAAAAACAAATCCTATAATGAAAGCAAATCGAATGAATAAATTAAAAAATTTTCGTACACCACGTTTTTTTCAATCAATAACATATAGATGTTAATAAATTTTTGAAAAATACAAACTTAAATAAGAATTTCATTTATTATTATTAGAAAAATATGACACATAAAAAAAAATATATTTATTAAAGAGTTGTATTTTGTATGAATTTGATTCTAAATAAAAACATATCATACTGAATTCTAGTAGTTGATAGTTTAATATGCCGTAAATTATACTAAATCAATGCTGACATTCAAGATCATTTATCTTGATTAGGTTTGGTAATTCAATAGGACTGAATTCATTTAGTATAAATAATTCTTTATATCTTTCGATAGATTACAAATTGTTTAGAAAATATTTAACCTTTCTATTTGCTTATATAAACGAATTACTAAATAATAACCGCAGAAAACAATTTGATGAAATCAATATTTTCTATATAGGATTTGTTTGGTCAACAAGACGATATCCATTACATTGATATTCTGTTTGTAGTCATCATCATGCAATATGATTGAACAAATCGATGCAAGATGTGCTGAGTAAATGATTGATGATAACATTTTCAACACTTTTGTTTGATCGAATCGATCAGCTAATCTATAGCGAAAATTACATATTCATATATCTTTATATTTATTTTTCTTTTCTATCATATTTTTTTTTCGAGATATACTATTGACCTATGAATAGGTCAGTGTAAAAAAAAAAGAAACGAAACAAGCGATAGATATACACATAAACTCACAGACGAAATAGATAAAGATAATATTATTAAAAAAAAAAAAAAGAAAAAAGAAATGATTGCACTGTTTAAATGGTAGACCAAGATAATTTTTATCTAGAAGGGTTTGCACCAGACAAAAAAAAAAACGCACGAACAAAAAGCGAATGATGTTGTATAAAGAGAAAAATTTCAATAGGTTCAAGTATTAACACTACTTGCATTGGCAGCAGCAACTACTTCAAAATTTTTGACAAGTTCACTAACCGGTCGTCTTTCATATGTGATATCATTATCAGTTGTCGATGGTAAAGATGTTTGTTGTATTGTTGTTTTTATTGTTTCATTTCGTACTTTAACAGTTATAACTTGTACACTTTGTTCCATAATTTTTTCACCTAATGTTGGATGATTTGAAAATTCAGATTTTGTAATAACTTTAAGTGTTGTTGTTTGTTCATCATCATTTAATGGATTTTGATTAGATGATTCACTTATAAAACGACGGGATTGTTCACCATCTCGAGTTTCTGAATGAATTATTTCTGTATAGGTCACATTATGACTTGGTGATTTCGCTTTGATATGAGTGTCAACAGGAGTCACGATAGGTGGTGATGGAAATGCCGTTGATGATGGTTCATCTAGAATTGTTCGATGTTCTTCAATAATTTGACTAATTGATGTTGGCATTTTTGTTAATGGTTCAGCTGTTACAATTGGTATTTCTTGTTCTTCTTCAATTTTTCCTGATGATGTTGATACGCCAAGTTTTGTTATTGATTTTGTTAAATTTGGATTTGATAAACCTGTTTGAGTTAAATGTACTAATTCATCAAGTGAAGTTTGTTTATTTAAATTATAAAGATTTTTTTTCGAAGGAGTTTCTTCATTAGCAATAAATGATTTTGGACGATTTTCACTACGTAATTTAGTTTTTTGTTGACCAACTGATGTTGTTGATGATGTCATTAATGATTCATTTTGTAAGGGTGATGTTAGTCCAATTGAATAAGATGATGGTTGTTTAATTGTTGAAATTATAGGCGGAAGACTTTCTTTTGATTCAAATTTTTCTCCATGTTCTTTGATTTCTTTCACAATGCGTTCAATTTGTCCTTGTTTTTCATTAGTTGGTTTCACTATAACTACGTTTTCTATTGTATCATGTTGTAATAATGATATTGGATTTCCAATTTCACTACATGTTGTTACTTCAATTGTATCCATCATTAAATCATTTACATTATCAACAAGTCCAACAAGTTTTGGTTGAATATCAGCTTGAAAAAATTCTTTTTCTTTTCCTTCATTATTATCTTGTGATAATTGTACACTAACAATTTTTTGTTGTTCAGCCATTTGACGAATAATTTCTGCTAAATTAACTGTATGATCAATAGTAGCCGAAAGATCATTTGATAATGTGGTTTTTTCTTTTGAAGTTGATTTTGATAAAGGAATATTCGTTACACCATATTGAATAACTACAGGTGTTATTGGTGATGGTGTGCTTTTAGTAATTTTATCAACATGTATTGCTTGAATATGTTCCGATATAGGTGATGTTGTTGTTGTTGTTGATGATGATGTTTGATAAACAGCTTCAAGTCCTTTGAGAGCAGCATCGATCGAACGACGAAAATCATCAGAAATTTCATTTTCATCAAGTAGTTTTGATGATGAGGGTGGTGGTGGTGGTGGAATAAATAATGGTGAAGTTGTTGTTGGTGGTTTTGGACGCATTTTAACTTCAGTTACAATAATTGAACGAAGAAGATTTCCATTATGTTTTATTGTTTCATCATTTTCATCAAGAATTCGTACATCATAACCACCATTTGGATTAGCAAATATAGCAGCTTGTTTACCCTTAAATTTAAACTAAATTTTTCTTAATTTTTTTTTTCAAAATCTCTTCTTACCTTATAAAATAAGATTCGTGCTTTTTCTAAAGCTTCTTTTAAAGCAATACCTGGTTCACCCGATGAAACTTGTATATGTTGAGTTTCAGGTATACTTGTATCATTAGTAGTCTAGACATGAAAATTTTGAATCTATTTAAACAAAACAAAACAAAATCAAATCAAAATTTACTTCATTAGCTGTCGTTGTTGTTGTGTGTTGTTCTAAATCTAGTTGAATATTTCCATTACGTAATTTTTCTGCTGTTTGTTTTAAAATATCAATTGTATGTGCAACTTTTTTTGGTGATGCTAATGTTATTTCTTTTTGTACAAGTTTACCTAATTTATTTGTTGATTTTATATCATGACGTTCAGAAAGTAAATCAAGTGCTTTGCCAACTATAATTTTATAATCTTCAACTTCATTTGATGGTTGTGCTGTTAATAGTACATCATTCAGTACATATTCGTCTGCTTTTGGTCGATTTGTTTTTAACCATTTACGAAAATGATCATTGATTAATTGTTGACCATCATCGATTATTGCTGTTGAAGTTAAATTAGTATTTTCTTTCGTTGTTCCTGTTTGATGTGAACTTGTACAACCCATTGTTGCGTATCGTCAAACGATCAGTAATAATTACTCATCATTCTTGACTGTTTTTTTCCTCTTTCTTTTTTGGCTTCTGTCTCTACTTGGGTCTACATATAGATGAGGAAAAAAAAAATGAGAGCGATTGTTCTGTCACGTCTCTCGTTCTTTCTTCTCTCTATTCTAATTTCACTGCTATCCAATACAGAACAACTACGATTGTTACTCTTTTATAACTTAGGCCGCTCGGGAAGATGGATGCATGTGTATGAGTTCAATTATTTAGTAAAGAAAAGAATAGAGAAATCTAGAGTTGGTAGCGCTATTCTTTTATTTTTATTTTTTGGTTTGCCCATGATACACATAGAGTTGAACTGCTACAGCAAAAAAAGAAATGCAAACCAATATAGTTGATTTATTTCTCTCGTTTTTTTTCTGTTCTTCTCTTTTTCTTTTGGCTCTTTTTGTAAAGGGCTCTTGTATTTTTTTTTTTCATTGTTCTTACTCTTACGTGTTTTAAAAAAGCATCGGTTGCATATGTGATAAAGCAATACATTGAATGATGAATTTCATTAGAATTCTTATATTCTCTTTTTTATCAACTTTCATTTTAGTCGACGTCAAAGCACGTAGAAATAACAGATAACAATAGTTTGCTGATTGGTGTGTGTACAATGACATTTTAACGATGATGATTGTAAAGAAGTATACTCAATCATTTGTATTAATGGTCATTTTTTCTCATTTGTTTTTTTGAGCAGTAACATCCGTTTGTAATGATTCTTTACAACAAAAAGAAGGAAAACATAGAATAAGTAAGAAAATTCAATAATTCTCCGATGAATAAAAAACTGAAAAGGGTCTATGTATGCATATTCGTATGATTCATGACTCTCGTGAATAAATCTATAGAAAAATAAATTAATAGAAAATTAATATGAATATTCGTTTCCGTCTTTTCTTTTCTTTTATTTTTTTTTTCATTAGCAATTTTTTCTCTTCGCCATATTTTGAAGAATAGTGAACAAACACATTTGACGCAATTATTGCTAAACAAACCTCAATCATAAATTCAATCAAATATACAAATCTATCTTTAAAGAACAAGCTCGCTATGAGGAAAAAAAATCGAGACTGAATAAGTGACATTTCGGATGCAGAATAGTAAAGAGATGTCAGAAAATTCAATTTACTTACTGCAAACTAATGAACGACGAACAACCGTTCCGCTTTCTTCTTTTTCTCTTTTTTTTCCTTCTCTCTCTATCTGTAGATTGATTCGATTAAACACATCCATATACTTGCTGACTCACCCGAGAATCGACCTAGTAATACTAGAGATGACGTTTTTCTAATAATAAAGATTAGTTTGGTTTCTTACATAGCTGTGAACTAGTAGTCAATACATATAAACTCTATAGGGAATCTAATGAAAAACGACGTTCGAAGATCTCATATGTTAATGTTATATATATAAATATATATCCATCTATATTCTGAAGAGAAAGAGAAAAAGAATTTGTGCAGGCTAATCAATAAGAAAAAAAAGAAAAATATGAAAGACTATTTTTCGCATAAAAATTCAATGATCACGATGCAGAAAACGCCTACATATAGACAAGACTATGCCTATTAATGGATAGTAGTATTCATAATCATTAAATATGTCATCAATTATTCATATATGCATCCGTAGTTCACTATTGAACCAATGCATTTCGCTCCCAATGAGAAATAGCATAGTTAAACAATATTGGAAAAAAAGCATATGATATGAATATACACATTATTGAACTTGAAAAAGAAAACGAAAAATACAATCGAAATATATT